GAGAGAGAGAGAGAGAGAGAGAGAGAGAGAGAGAGAGAGAGAAAAGGAGGGAGAGACCCAGAACGTTCTGGAATCCCTTCCATAGAAGTGTCAGGGATGGGTAGGGTTTCTCTCCTGCTCTGTCTCATGCCTTCCCTAACTGCAGCTAGGAGATAAAACCCAGCTCACTCTCACCACCTTCTCCACTGTACTGTTGTTGTAGCTCTTGGGTTTAAGTGTATGTTTCTTGGCTTAATGTTTGTCTCCTCTGTTAGAAAGTTGTTCAGTGCAAATAGAAACCTTACTTATCCCAGCCTTTCGACCTCATCCTGCCTCCAGGTATTAAGACCCTTCCTAGCACGAGGTGGGCATTTGACATGCATTTATCAAATGGATAGGTGGGTCTGTTTTGTTGCTGACCTTGCTCACGCTCCTCAGGTTCCCTGGCATCCTTTTGGGTGCCTGCCAAGCACCTGTTAAGGTTGTAAGGCTCAGTTCAGCCTTACAGTCTCCAGAAAGCCTTTGGTGGTGTTATGGTTTCTGTATAGTTGTCCCCCCTCCCAAGCCTCATGCAGTCTTGGGGCGGCTTCTGGAGTTTGTGATTGATTACCATGGGTGTGGATGCTACACCTGCCCTGGGGCCAGTAGTTTGCATTACAATGTAAGGAGGGAAGAGAAGTTGGCTGCTTGAGCTGCTGCGCCTCCTCCTTTGCACTCTTGCTCTTTATTGAAGCCATGAAAAGTTGCCCTCTACCATGAGCCCCTCTGCCTTGGAGCCAGCTGAGTATAGACTGAAACCTCTAGTAACTGTGAGCTGAATAAACCTTTCCTTCCTTCATTTTGGGTGTCGGGTATTTGTCCCAGCAGCGAGAGAAGAGTAGCTAAGCCAGGTGGCTTCCTTCCTTCCTTTCAAGTGCCAGGAATACCCTCTCTGAGTGCTATTTGCCCATGGCCAATACGAACACGTGTGTGAGTGTGCATGGTGTGGTGTTTCCACCTTCATATCTGTGTATGCATGTGTGCACATGGGCATTACTTATTCTTTCTCTTCTTTTGTAGCATTTCAACTCAATTTTTTTTTAACATATCTATTACCCTTATTAGACTAAACTCCTTGGGAAATGGGGAAACTTTTTTTCTAAAAAAGTAGTAGGTGCTCAATAAATAATATTTGAATTCTAATCACAACATGCCAAACATTGTTGTATCTTTGTACTTAAAACAACTATGTAAGTATCTTTTATGTATTAATTCCCATAATCCTCACAACTGTATAAACTACATTTTTAACTTTACAGACCAGGCATCCATGGGTAGGAAGAGATGATGGGTCTATGGCCTCCCTGCTGGTCCAAGTCCATAGCTTTTCTTCTGTCCCATCTCTCAGAGGCTACATGAGTGAACAGATGGGCCACAAGAACCTTAGAAGTTCAGACATAATCATTAAATGGGACTCAGAGACAGTGAGATCAACACAAATCAGTAAGAAATGATCACTACACTAGTCTGTGATTAGCCCTGAATGACACAGTCTTAAGGGCATTGGGTAAAATATTGTAGCCATTGCACTTAATTCTTGCTGGCCCAGACGTGCATAGTGGCGTTGATCTATGAAAATAAGTAATTACCATTCCATGTTAGTACTATAGAAATGATACAGCCCCTGACCTGTTACATGTCGAGCATACCAAGTTCATGGTCTGACAGCATTGAGGGATGAAATCTCAAAGTGCAGAGGTTAGGAGAGCTTTATCGAGAAGAACGAGGAGGAGAATGGCTCCTGGATTTCCAGGAGAGGTCCTGAGTAGGTGGCTGCAGAGGGCCTTTGTCTACAGTAAAGTCACAGCATGTGTCCATAGACCAAGCTACCATTAATCTGTAGGGTTACAAGTTTAGCCATATAGCTCTGCAGATCCAATAGGGAAACAAGTCACATACCAAGGATGCATTGGAAGAACAAAGGCATTCTGGGAACATGGGGGGGCTTAGGTCTCAGTATTCTGCACCCGATGCCTGTCTGGGTCCACCTGACCAGGCAGTGCTCACTGCAGTATAATCTCCAATTGCTTTTTATCTCCATGTCCCGGCTTCTGAGGCTCCATCCCGAGGCGTAGCTCTCTGCAGACTTGCTCCCAGCCGTAATACCAGTGTCTTTCTCTGCTGACTCCCTTCCTTGCGATCTCTCTCTCTCTCTCTCTCTCTCTCTCTCTCTCTCTCTCTCTAACTTAGCTGTCTATAATATTGGGAATGATTTCCCAGAGATAATTTGTCAAATCACCAACTATGAGTTAAGTAGCTCTTGTGTGCAAGGTTAGCTCCTAAATTTTGGGAGAAACTAAATACATGGAAAGAAGTGAGTGGGAAGGGTAAGAAGTTCTGAAAATCAAAACCAGGGCTCCCGTCTTCATGAGGCTGTAGCCTAGTCAGGAGGCCATGTGTGATTGTGGGTTAGGACAGTACAGTAAACTAAGTGTGGCAAATACGAGAGCTCTCACAGTGTCTTAAGATAACAGCTTCATGGCCAGACACAACAGAGAAATAATAGTGAAAATGAAAGTTTGTATTAGTCAAGATAGAATAATTTTTGTGGAAGAAATGATCAATCCTAAATGTCAGTGGCTTAACAAAATAAGTTGATTTCTCATTCCGATAGTGCCTGCTGTGAATACCGCGTTTCTCTAGGAAAGCTGCCCTCCGCATTTAACTTTACTGAGGCTGCAGGCTGCTTTGCATTTTTTTCTGTCTCCCCACCCCCATCCCCTGGGTACTGGAGATTGAACACAGGCCCTTTATACTGAGCTACATTCACAACTCTTTTTATTTCATATTTTGAAACAAGGTCTTGCTGAGTTACCAAGTTGCCGGGCTGGGCACGAACTTGTGATTTTCCTCCTTCAGCCTCCCAGAGTGCTGCGATTACTGGCCTGTGCCACAATGGGCAGCCACTTTGATCATTTTATTCAGCCTCCTAGAGGCCCTCCTTTAAGATTTGGGGAAAGAGGAGAAAACTGGAGAATGGCACCAGCAATTAAATGCGTCAAAGCTTCGGCCTCGAAGGGATGCTTGTCACTTGCTGTCTTGCACTTAGCCTTCCTTACAGCTCATGTCCTTCCAGCCCTGTCACCCCGCACACTGTAGGCACTCAGTGACTTGATGTTGGGTGGAAGAATGAATTGAACCTGGGAACAAACTGCAGGGTCACAGAAGTAACGCCCGTGGCCGGCCCGAAGCCTGGGCTTCAGATAATGCAGTCTAGTTCAAAGATAATGACTAAAATTCAAGGAACATTAATAAAAGTAACAACACAG